CCCCGGAGCCAATTTTCCAGCCAGCGGATCGTGGAGGACCCAAGGCGACAATTGGCCAGTTTCTCCAAGAGGCGATCATGGGACACCAGATTGAAGGCTTTTTTGAAGTCAAGATATATGACATCAATCTCTTCTCCCTTGTCCAGGTGATAGGTCACCTGGTCGTAGAAGGAAATGAGATTGGTCAAGCAAGACCTACCCGCAACAAACCCGTGCTGGCTATCCCTTAAGATGTTGGCGTCGGCCAGTCCATTAAGGATGGCCTCTTTAATAAACTTTTCTAAGATCTTCCCCGGGATAGAAGTCAGGCTGATGGGCCTATAGTTAGCTGGATCCACTTTCCTCCCTTTCTTGAAGATAGGCACCACATTGGCCTTCTTCCAGTCTTCGGGCACTACACCAGAGCGCCAAGAGTTTTCAAAGATCCGTGCTAGAGGCTGGGCTATGATGCTCGCCAGCTCCTTGAGTACCCTGGGGTGAAGATTGTCAGGGCCAGCTGACTTGAAGGTATCCAGCTTCTCAAGATGTTCCTTCACAAAGTCAGCATTAATGGAGGGCAGGGGATCACCCTCACCCGGACTTCCCGGCCCTGTAGCGGGCATGGGCGTCCCATGGGACTGATGAAAGACTGACGCAAAGTACCTATTTAATAGGTACTTTGCTAGCAGGATCCTGAGCACAGGGCCATATCATCTGACCCATGGGGCTTGGGAATTTGGTCGTGGAGGATGTTGCCCCTGCTTTTCCTCCGGCTCCCCACATATCTGAATGTGGGGAGTTCTGATGCACTCCTGTGGCTGTGGGCAGAGATGACCATAGTGGCATGCAGGGCCTAGGGCAAATCAGCCTGTATGAGGCCCCTTTAACACTGTGAGGGCCCCACAAAGCGCGGGGCCCGGGGGAGTTGCCCCAATTTGCCGCCCTCCAAAGGACAGCCCTGGCTGTGGGCATTGGTTTGCTGATCAGCCCTCCCAGCCACATAAGCACACTGATACCCTTCAAGGCTCCAGTGTGCTCCTGAGATCGGGAGTGTCAATCAGCTGATTGGTGCTCCCATCCCTGGAAGTGCACTGCCCACATGCTCAATTTAAGGCACAATGGGAACCAGCCACAAAATTATTAGACGTATTTTGTATAATTTTGTGGCTTTTTCCCTGTTGTATTGCATCATTAATTGCATGAATGTGTGGCCAGGTTACTACTTAAGACACGGTTAACTGGTTATTTAAGTCTTAAATGCATCATCTGCTCATGGCATGATAGAAACTAAGGGTTCTCTCAAACCCTGCACTGACTTCTGAACATTAGACACATCTGTTGATCAAGAGACTCTAACAGATGGCAAAAAATTGATGTTTGACAGCTCCAAGAGAAACTTAACCTAGTGGTTTCTTCCTCCTTCCTTTCCAACCTCAGGGAGGTAAGGCATACTATTATAAGGAAACACCAGTGATTGCAGAAGATGACAGATTTGAAAGGTCAGACATCTGTTGGTTTTAAGAACAGATGCTGAAGATGGTGTGAAATGGCCACGTGAATCATACTGCTCATGAACTACCTGCATCCAGAAGTAAACCCAGCAATGGTCACACACTTAGTACAAAACAACCAGAAGCTCTCTTGCTGTGGCATCAAGAACCAGTGAGTATGACTGCAAAAATAGCATTAGCAGAAGAGAAGAGGCTTAGCTAGGATTTTAGAAGACATCTAAGAACATTTGCTTTTGTTAAGTGCTGCATATGATTTCTTGGATCCCTTATTGCATTTGGCAGTTGCTATAGCTAAGTGCTAGTCAGGAAAAAACCTCAGAAAAATGGTTCCAACAATAAAATTTCAGCTCTCAGAAAGTGACAAAGCCTTAAAGAAAGCAGGAGGAAAAAGAAACAAGATCAAGCTTTGTGCCATCTAAAAAGATTAGGGCAAAAGGAGAACAACATCCAGTTATACATCAGGCGGAAGGAGGGCTGTTTCTTTTCACCCCCCCAATTTTCTCAGAGAAAGAATAAAAATACTTGACCCTGATCATCCCGCTGCAAAGAAAAAATTCACCACAACCATTGTATTATAATGCCACAGAAGATTTGAGAAGGGCACCACTGTCTCTCATTTGTGGTAAGATTGATGCTGTGTTAGTTGTCCTCTAACATCTATTTTAATTCATATACTGACCAGCGCAAAGCTGCAACGATGAATTGTCCTAAAATCTTATATTAGTTTACCTTCATCTCTTCACTTAACATTTTCATGGAGTGAATGACAACCTGCCTGCAGCTCAGAAACCAATACTTAAATGGCTCCACTGGAAACACTCATTTCCACCAGGGTCTGAAGAAACAGAAGTGCTGTATGTCAAAAGCAGCAGTCCTTAACACTTGGGCACTCTAGGGGGAGTACAAGCTGATTCAACACCTATATCTCAAGTTTCAGCAACTGTCACTTGATAACCTGCAATAAGTCATTGCTAGAAACCTGCTCACATCTGGGGATAGCATAGATGTCAGAAAGATACTTTGTTCAAAGTGTCACAACTGTGGTTATTTAATGTGACTTATCATCTGTTAACTCCTGTTTATAAGATTCACTATTTTATAGCCACTGTGGTAAACTATAGAAATTTACAGTCTTAAATTATTCCCTCTCTCTCCATTACTATCCATTCTGGTATGAAAAATTTGCAATCCAGTACCTAATATTTTGCAATATAATACCTAATATCTTGCAGTACAATACAACGATGTCCAGGCTTGATATGGATGTTGCTTTGATTTAACATCTAGGTTTCAAATCACCAATTTCTGCTCAGCCTCCAAAATTCTCTTTCTAGATTAATACTTTTCTCTCCATTTTAAGCAATTCAAGATATAAACAATTTATCCATAGAGGTCATAGACATTAGGGCTGGAAGGGACCTTGCAAGATCATCGGGTCCAGCCCCCTACCCAAGGGGCAGAAAGCCAGCTGGGGTAAGATCACCCCAGTAAGATAAGCATCCAAGCATTTCTTAAAAAAGGTATCCAGAGTAGGTGCTTGCACCATTTCTGGGGGGAGTCTATTCCTGACTCTGGAGACTTGGCCGGTAAACAAGTTTTTCCTTATGTCCAGTCTAAAACGGTCTTTCAGCAGTTTGTGACTGTTAGACCTTATCTTCTCTTGGGGTACCCCGGTGAACAGATATTCTCGCAGTTCCTGATGCACATCCCTCATGTACTTACACGCTACTACCAAGTCACCCCTGAGCCTTCGCTTCTCCAGGCGGAAGAGTCCCATGCCTCTCCTCATAAGGCCTGTTTTCTTGACCTCTAATCATGCGTGTGGCTCTCCACTGGACTCTCTCATGCTTTTCCACATCCTTTCTAAAGTGTGCAGCCCAGAATTGGATGCAGTACTCCAGCTGCGATCTCACCAAGTCTGAGTAAAGCAGGAGGATGACTTCTTGGGTCTTGCTTGAGATGCATTGGTAGATGCAAGCCAGAGTTTAATTTGCTTTGCCGGCTACGGCATCGCATTGGTAGCTCAGGGGTCATGACTGACCACAAGATGAACGTAAGTCTCTTTTGGTCATGGTGCTAGAGAGTGCAGCACTGCTGAGCCTATAAGTATGATGTGGGTAGTTTCTCCTGACGTGGAGCACCTTGCATTTCTCCATGCATTTCTCCATTTCTTACCACAAAAATATAATTTTTTTTCAAATGACTGGTAAAAACAACTTTCTGAACAAAAGATTTTGGTTTTTTAATTTCACATCTGACCTAGTTGCATAAAAAGGACTAAATAACCTGAGAATGCCTTTTTTTTTTTTTTAATAAACATTTCAGGTTAACTGAAAAAAAGTTCTGTGTTGGCCTGACCCAAATCAATTTCTAAATATACTACTCATACAGCTCCAATATTTATATATTTTTTGTCATAAAAAGAGCGATGTTTAGGAAGAGAGGACAGAGATATTAGGAACTGAAAGATACATGCTAGATTTCAATAATGGGTTATGCAGATTTCCTGCACAACTCTCAGTCAGGGAACCAAGCTCTTACATAAAGCCATGAAACAAAGATACCAATAGGAATGAATATGGTTTTCATATCACACATATTCTGCAGCATTCTTTTCATTATGTTGCAATTTTCAGCTAGGTCACTAACGACTCCCTCAATACCCAACAGATTTATAATGGCAAGCATTTTCCCCATCTGGATTTCCTTTCAGATAAGGGTTATAGAATGGTACTCTTTCCACCCATGGCAGGAACATCCCATTTTATTTAAGAAATCAGCTTGCCTCTTATATATGCTTTTGTTAACACTGACTCAAGAAGAGGAGATGTTATGGTGTGTGCATTTGGCAGTGGTACTGCAGGAAAGCATAAATGTGGATTGTTGAAGCAGCACCATCAGCAGGCTGGCAAAAAATCAGCCTATTCCATCTCCCTAAAGGAAAAACAGGGGGCCACTGACATGGAAATGTAAGGCAACAGCCTCAAAGCAAGAAAAAACTCACAAGATTAAAAACCTAATATTTATCCCCACTAAAAATCCCAACAACAGTGCACATGTACACCCCCTGTAGCTGTATATAAACATACAATTTACAAACACAGCATATACACAGACATTGCTGAATATGATTTTTCTTCACTGGGGGTTGAAAGCCTTTACACCAACTGTCAGTCAAACATCCTCAGTGTCAGCATGTGTAGAGAAAGTAAAAGTAGCTGCCAAAACAAAAAGCAAGGACACAGAATAACTGTTATAAATAACCTCTTAAAAAAACAGCCAGATTTTCACCTGATGTAAATCACCGTGCCATGAACACAGGGGTGGATCCACAGGGAGTGCAGTGGCATGGCTGCACGCTCCTTTTGGACTGGACCATGCCTCAGAAACCTCTTGTGCCTTTTTTAAAGTCCCCAAACAGGTGAGAATCCCCTTTCTTCCCTTCCATGCTCAGTCATGACACCTCCCCTTCTCTTTCCCCCACCACCCAGCCTGCTGCTTTCCCTGGGCAGGGGAGCTTTCAGAGCCACTTGTGCCCACTCCAGCTGCAGCACAGGGGCTGGGCTCAGCTGGCATAGTGGCACTAGCAATGGGTGGGGTGGGTGGCCCCCAAGTCCCCTACCCTGCACCTGCTCCTGGAGGATCGGGCAGGGTAGGGGAGCCCACCCTTGACCTATTGCTGCTGTTGCTGTCCCAGATGAGCCCAGTCTGCATGCAGCCCAGCAGGAGCAGCTCTGAAGCTTCCTGCCACCCCAGGAACAGTGGGGAAAGCAGCAGTAGTGAGTAGGAAAGGGGGAGAAGAGAGGGGAATCTGAGCATGGAGGAGGATGGGGGATTCTTACCTGTTCTGCAGACTTCAAAAAGTCCCTGGAGGTTCCAGCAGCATAAGGCTGCCAGCACCAGTGGGCAGAGGGAGAAGCCTGGGAACTGCCACAGCTCCCTTTGCCAAATCTCAGACCCACTGCTGAATGGGTATCAGTGGAGCTCCATTGATTTCCACTAACTAAAGAATTAATCCAATATAAGCAAGATTCCTCAGATCTCATTCACTTGATAAGTAGAAGCAAAAGATGATCCGACATGATTAACTGATTGTATCAGAAGACTCAGCCAACAAATAAGACATACCGCAAAGGAAAGTTAAGAAAACTTCATAAAACCTAAAGCAGGTTCTTACCTGGCAGCTGCTGCTAAGAGGTTCTTGGCATTAGGAGCTCCAGGATCAACAGAGAGAGACTTGGCAGCCAACAAAAGCTTGCTGGAAGCCATAGAGATGTTCTTGAGGTTCCCTATTACTTGAATCTGGTCCTCTTTAGTCTGGAAAGCCACAGCAGTATAGCAGTAAACATGCAGCCCACATTAACTAAAGAGACAACTAAAATACAAGTACTGAAATTTGGAATTGAATATAATTACCCATCTAAAACTCCTTCCCTGCATAGAATTACATACTAGATATGGTCACTGACCAAAGCCTCTGCTATTCCAGATAGATGCCTCCAGTTCCATTCATACAGCAGAAAAAGAAACCCATATAAAAATATCCTGATTTCTAACAACAACAGCATTCACAGAAAAGTGGGGGGGAAATTTAACTACTTGCTAAACAATGCTTTTGTTGTCAAAGCTCTTATACATCTCTGCCTGGCACAATTGGTCCACATCATTCAGTGTGCGCTAACTATATCCTAGCACCCTTGGTGTAATTTACAGCCCTCTTTACCTTTTTGGGATTAATGACTTAATCACACAGAAATGTGGCCAAAAACACCTTTAGAAACACTTAATGACAGGGATTCTCCACATGGAGAAAAAGCAGTTTCTGGAAAACTACTCTGTGGTTTTGTTGGATAAAAGGCTTGAACTGGACATGGGACAATGTATTCATTTCAAGGAATGACTTAGAAATAACAATTTTCTACATACAACATGACAGAAAAATACAGTTTGATTAAGGTGCGTGGCAAAGAGCAGTGTTTTGAACTCCTATCAATAATTTCGGCAATTAATGCAGCACTTTCTTCTGTGTTAGAAATATTTGCAAGCAGATATTCTGTTCAGTTGATTCAAATAGGCTTTAATCTATATTTGCGAGCCATTTGCATTATTTGCTTTTTGCTCCACACAGTATGTCTCCCAAATTTCTGTTTCTGGTCTGACTGAATGACAACTTTTTAGGGAAAAGTCATCCCTTTTTATTTGATTCAGAAATACCTACGATTATTTTAGTTCAGCATGTGTTCAAGACAAACATTTCATAAAGTCTGCGAGTTCACTGCTAGCTGGAATTCCCTTGTAAATACGTTTGCACTTGTGTTTTCATTTTATCCTTGTGAATAAAACTCTCGCACCCAATTATTATTAGTAAGGCCCAGAGCCTCAAAGTTAGTTAGACACTTAACTCCTACTTAACTCCTATGAAATCTATGAGGCTTAGGTATCAAACTACTTTGAGAATCTGAGCTCATGTGATTAAAAATTGGCCACTGTCAGCACTGCAAATTACTTGTTTGCAAGAATATTCACAGGTGCTGCTTGCCGTATTTGCCTCTTTCTGCCCATAAAGTATTACCTATAAGGGACTCTGTCAGAACATCAGAGGTGTTACTTTTTTAAATTAAGAGCACTAATTCATAGCCCTGGAGACTGAAGTCATCCAGTTTGCTGTGGAACAGATAAACACCAAGGTGGCAGCAGGGTAAGTCAACTTACACTACACCCCATGGATATACTAGTTTTCTAACCTGGAGGGACAGGGATGAAAGAATGGCTCTGTTTCTATGTTTATTTAATCCCTGGGTTTTGGTTGGGAGTGCAAGACTGCCAGCTTGTGCTAACTGAGATGTTGTATTCTTGTGTTGTGTCCATTCTGGGAACAGAATGGTTTAACTTCCACTCAAAAGCCCAAACACTCCTTAATTAAAAACTGACCGCTGTCCTCAGATATAACAGCATTTAGGTGGACTGGATTTATCTATATGTGATCTCACAGTTCTTTTAAAGGACTTCAGACTGGTCTACTTCTTGTCATTAGACTATTATGCCAAACAAGAATCTGAAAGACTGCCCCACGCTTCAGACTGACCTGCAACAGGTCTTCTGAAGTGTGCTGGTACCAGCTATTCAAAAGGCTGACATATACAATCAACAAACACACTTACATGTTTTCACCTCTTGTTCTTCCTCCTATAAACTGGATGGTACCACTTCATGTAATGTGCTAGCCTGTGTTTTGCTAAATGGCTTCACATCCAGCCTGTCATACAGCTCTTTCTCATGCCAACTGTAGCTAAATGTTTCAAAGTGCAAAAACTAGTAATGTGTACCCCATTTTTAAAAAACTTGAAAAAACTACAAAATACTGTCACATCCACAAGGTGCTTTACCAATCTTCCCCACGGGTCAACTCTGTGGGGTTGGCAGATCCACAATGGATCCAATAACGTGTATCCATGTTACACCAAGTGGAAGTACTGAAACTAGATTTCAAAGGATTCATTATATCTCAGCTATCCTTTTTACCTTGATTTTTTGGAGCACAGGCACTTATCTCTAGGAGCTGCTCACTATCTGGAAAAGCAATGGACTACCTTCTGCTACACAGTTCACAAAATCAAGAGAACAAAGCTCTGATTAAATGAAGGAGTGTAGTCATTTTCAATCAGTACCAGGAATCTTGTGAGCGTTGTGAAAACTCCGTAGTCAGAACAGCTTGTTATCACTGACCCTCCATCTTTGTGCAGGTTGAGACTAGCACAGTTAACATCCCTACATATCCCAGGTAGGTCAGCTGTGGACTTCAGGGACCAAAACTCACTTGTGCTTGACCAGCCATTTCAATGCCAGCATCAAGGAACTCATCAAAATCATCACTGAACTTTCCAGAGGCTGCTGCCAACTCTCCACTTTGACCCCGTGTAGCATGAACTACTTCTCCTGCTGACTGGTTCAGATCTGCTGCAGCCTGGTTCAGTTCACTTTGTGCTTCTTGGAAAGATTTAGAACTTGGAGGCAGCTTCAAGAGAAAAGAGTTAATTTCAGTGACCAACTGTTTAGATAAACCCTTAGCAACTATGCAGCTCTTGTACCATTCAAAATGTTAAAAGAATGCATGTGGATGGTCCCTGGGATTACACCTGGATTACTATGATTTGAATGATGAAAAGATAGCCTTTATTTTAGAGGTGGGACTAAATCAAAACCTGTATAGCAGCCAGCCTAGTTTTGCTCCCTGAGTGAAATGAACCCTAGATTTGGAAGTGAGAAGTATAGGCCTCTACTATTTGAACTCCATGTACTAAATCCATTAACAGGAAGACTAGGCGGCAGTTATCTTCTTGCTTTGGGCAAGGCAAAGGACAGACAAATGGTCATCAATGCCTTCAAGCTACAGCAACCCCTAAGTTTGGGATTCTTTCATATACAGATCCTGGTCTCAGTATGGCGACTTTTCATTTATACTTTAGATATTGGGGAATTAAGGCCAAGTTATTTATCTCCATCTCAGAAGACACCTGGAAATATTCCTTTTTTTGTCTTTTATTCTACAATACTGGCGATCTGCGAGTCAGCCACGAACTGTGGAGGTTCTAATGATTAACTATTTGGCAGAATAAACATCACAAAATGAATGTACAGTAACCAAGTGGATTTTAACTGGCTCCAAATTATGTTTGAGCCCTAAACTAACTAAAGCATGCACTGACTAAAGGTATTCAGATTCCTTCAGAATGAGATCCCCTGTTCACCCAACAAACAGGAAGATTCCCGCTGCTTCTGGTAGTGATGACACATGACTGAACTACACAGCGGCCACACACCTCAGGCAAGTTGCTTGTGGTTACAAACTATAAGTGGCATTTAAGGATAGAAATATGGACACAGCTTTTAATTTATTTAAATTTAATTACAATAGACTCAGTACACTTTTTTAGAAGGGTGCAATAGAAAATGGGGATTGTGACACTGTCGTAAAGAAGTATGAACGAATACTGCCTGATAGCAGGGCACCATGGTTCTCTCACTAAGTTGAAAGGATAGCTTTGTATTTTTCAAGTCTTTGCATCTTTCAAAACTGAGACTTCCAGTAATGGAGCTGATGGTGATCTAGGCAGGGTTGGCAATACAAATTATCATATTTTTGAGTCACAGCAACATGTGAGTTCTCTCCAAATCAACAGAGAAGCTTTTCAGTCTAAAATACTGAAATGGGAAAGGCATTTAGAGGATATTTCTTACGAATGAATTTAACATATGGAGAACCCAGGTCAGGTTTTGCCCCTCTGAAATAATTTACATAAAAATATTTTTCTCACCGAATCAACAAGTAGCTTTTTGCTAGATTCTCCAATACTCTTCAAGGCCACATCCACATCCTTTTGTCCAGGTAGACAATTCACACAGTTATTCAATGAATGAGAAACTGCTTTGGCCACCTGGAAATATACATGCACATGAAATCATCAGGAATAGCTGACTGGGTCCTGTTCAACAAGCTTTAACCTTAAAGGGCAGTTCACCTTTGTGGCAGGGAACTTCTAAATCCTTCTCTTGCTATAACATGACTCCTCCTCTAAGGCTTGTCCCTTTCTCAGTTTCCCAACTGCAGAAGAGCAACTGTTGCTCATTATACTCACTCATTTGGCAAGGCAGTGCCTGGACTGGAAACTTGTAATGGGCATTCAAAAGTGTTATGCAGAAAGGGGCTGTGTGGAAAGCAAGTTAATGCTGATGAACCAAAATTGATTTTTAACACTGAGCAGATGACAGCTCTTACAAAGAAATAAGTAACTAGTCAGCCAATCAGGTGCTAGCAACAGAAAAAGGGCATATATGATGCTTCACGTAAGCTTCAAGGAACTGTTATTTAAACATACCCCCGCAATTATGATTTAAAAAGCCAAACAGCCTCAGGACCCTCTGACCAAGAGAAAAGGATCTGTTGATCTGATAAAAAAAATGCTGATTTGATGTGATATGTTTAGAAAAGTTGGTGTGTCATGATTTATATTTCAAGCACACTATGATGACTCAGGATTGTTAAATTGGTAACAGTGAGAAATCTGTTTAGTTTCACAATTATAATCTCACATGTAAATATCACAGGGTTTAAAGGTGCTAACACATGCAATAGTGTACAGATGTCACTCCACAACTTAAAATAAATCTTCCTAAGAAGAATTACATCAACTCAATGTCTCCAAAGCAGCCTATTTCCTAGCTGCATCAGCTGTGCTATTTAGTGCTGTGGTTTCAACAGTCAAAGTTGTTCTCTGCTGGTTTTGTGCAGCAGGCATAGAAGGTCATGTCACAATTTACCTGGGCTAATCTTTGCTGACTCTCTGCATCCCCAGGTGCTGCCAGAGCCTTCTTTGCTTCCTGAATAAGCATAGCAGAGCCTTCCATGACATCCCTTGCTGAATCTAACATAGCATGTGCTGCCACAGGGTCAGTAGTAGATGCCGCAACCCCTCGTGCTGCCTGAGCCAAAGTCTTCAGAGCTTGAGCTGTCTCTCTGGCAGCGACCCCTAAATTCAGATTTCATCAAGCACTCTGTTAGTATCCTCTAAGGCACAATCCTTTTTACTCTCTGGCAGCCTATTTGCTGGTAATAAATCCATTTCAACATAAAATTTCAAACATTTTAAAACAAGTCTTTCAAAGTGAACACTTCTGATACTTACATCACCATGCAGTTTGAAAAAAGCCATAGAGTAAATAATACACCCCAAAGAGCATATTCCAGGGCAGTTCTAAACAAATGGACACTTCCTTCTTATGTCAGGAAAAGAAGGAAATTCTAAGATTTTTAAATTGCTTTCAGTTGAAACTGAAGAAAAAAAAAGAAATACTTAACTCTGAAGGGTAACATTTTAAAAATGCCTAAGTGATTTAGGAGGCTAAGTCCCATTAACTTACAATGAGTCTTAGAAGCTAAAATATCAGTTACTTTTAAAATATGACTCAGGACCTCACTCAAGATCAAAAAAGCAGAAGAATTTCAACCAAAAAGCAACATGAAGCTTTCTAAAACAAAGCAACTCAATATCACCTTGTCTCCTTATGCAGTGTGCGCACAAAGTGGAAAAAGGTACATAGCAGACCTTGGGAAACTGGTTAGGTGGCCTGGCAGTCTGACCCAGATACTGAAGAAGTTCATCAGTGATGAAACTAAGAACTATGGTTCAAGCTGTAAAGGAAGAATGTTCTTTTATCTGTCTGTCTAATTCATCCTTTACTGAAAAACCAGACAATGTTCTTTACTCTGAGTTTTTAAAACATCCTTATTAGTCTGTAGAATAAAAATTGCTACCTACACAACAATGGACTATTACAGATCCATTAAATGTTGGTGGTCTTTTTACTTTAAGTACAGAAAGGCTAAACATGCCATTTCTACTTTAAAAATTCCCTGCAAAAAGGTTCTCACTCCCTGTACAAGCCTGCTTTGTTATAGGCCTTTGCTTTCCCATCTATAAACATTTACAAAGTTATACAGCTGGAATGTAGTTTCACAACCTAATACAAATTACGGGGCTGCCAATTCCAAATGTATTAATGCTAACACATTAACAATTTCAGTGCCACAGTCACAAGTGAACATTTTTAAACACAACACTTTTCTTTGTTACTGCAGAGAAAGAGCTGTGTTATGTATAAATGTAAAAGAAGTTCAGATCTAGACACAGCAATAGGATTGGCACTGCTTAAAGTTTCCACCTTTCCATTAAACAGCCTACAATGCAACCTTTGCCTTTTTGACATTTGCCATACACAAGAAACCACAAAGTTTCTCCCAAAATGATAAATTCTTTATCAGGAGTTGAAGCAGTTCTCCCTCCCTATTTAAAAGGCAGGTTAGTTAGCAGGATGCTGGGATAGGAACTAGGAGACCTGGCTTTTACTTCCCCCTCAATAATTCTTGTGCTGTGGGACCTAACAAAAGTCACTTCACCAATCTGTCTCTCCATTTTCCTTCCCACAGTTACTCTGATTTATTTATTTAGCCTGTAAACTCTTTAAGGCTTAGAGTCTTGAAGTGATCACCCCTAACAAAACAGGGTCCTGACTACAGAGGTCAATAAAAGCTATTGTAATATTTAAAATATTTATAAATATTTTATTTATAACATCAGCACTCTTAGGGGAAGTTGACTAGAACATTAAAAGTAGCTGAAATCTGAGTCACAGTTCTCTTATCTCCCAAAAAAATGGGGGATGGGAGATTCAGTTTTTATGTTGTTGGCTCAAAATTCTTTTTCTGTGATGTCCTTTTAATCCTTTTAATGATCCGATCACAATTTTCATAGATTCATAGATGTTAGGGTCGGAAGGGACCTCAATAGATCATCGAGTCCGACCCCCTGCATAGGCAGGAAA